ATATTAAGCAATAGAAGATCTTTATAGAATGGCTAAATAACATAAAACTTAATCTTCAAATTAGATTTATAATACAATTTGAAAATTTTTTATTTAAAATTTTTTAATTTTCTAACTAAATTAAATACTATATTTCAAGTATTAGAAATTAATACAAACAATATATTTAAGTGTCTTCTTTTTGAATACTGCATATATAAACTTCCTGATCAAGTTTTGTTTTGGTTTAAAAAATTACAAAAAGCAATTGTTAACCCTTATATAATTTTTTAAAACTGAATTTATTAAAATACAATCAAAACTAAATAGTTAAAAATTTATAGCTTTAATATATAATATAAAACTTAGTATAAAAAAAGCTTAAAAAAATTTTTAAAATAAATGGGTTGTTAAACTTATTTATCTTTGACAATATGTCTGTTGTATAAAAGTAATGGTTCTGATTTTACATAAAATATTTGTCATATTTTTTTTAACTATTCATTAAATATTAAAACAACTAAAAAAGAGCTTTTATATCCAAAATTACTAAAAAAAAAGTTAGAAAGAAATATTTTATCTTTTAATTTATTTAATGTACTAATTAAATCTAAATTTTTAGAACAGTTACTTGGCTTTTTAGTATTTTTTTCACAAACTTTTTAAATTTATCTTTTATATAACTTTATAAAATATAAAATTTAGTCAATTACATCTATTAATAGCAATTAAAATAAATATTTAATAAGTATAATATTAAAACTCACCCAATATATTTGATAAAATACAAGAAGCAAGGTTTCTGCTTTCAAGTTTAAATAAATCAGAAATAAGTTTTAATCATGAAGTTTTAAAGACAGTTCAGAAAAGACAACAAAGCAATATTGTTAAAAATACCAAAAAAGAGTTTAGTAAAATAACTGCTAAAGCTATTTTAAAAAAATTTGATAAAAAAATAAATGTATTTTTAGAAATAAATGCATTTAATAGATGATTTACCAGTTATTTAAAGAGCTATGTGATGCAGATTATACAAAATTATGTATAAATTTTTTAATTAATAAATGTAGAAATATTATATTTAAAACTTTTTTCTTACTAAGTAAATTATTCTTGGGCTTATAACAAAAGTTGTAAAGCTTATTAAAACATATCTAATAGTAGTAAAAATATTAAAATTGGCCTGTAGTTTTTAAGAAATCTTTAAAAAATATTTCATTGATATATAAAATTTCTTTAAAAAAAATTGATTTTTTTTAAAGAAATTTTATATTAATAAAATGTTTTTTGAAAATTTCTTAAGAATTATCAGACTGATTTTAATATTATTATTGCTATTAAATATATTTTAATGAGCTCTACAATTTTTATTATAAGCCTATAAGTAATTTATTTAGTAAAAAAAAAGGTTTAGAGGGTGTGGTGACTTAGTGAAGTGGTTAAGTTAACACCCCCAAGTGGCACATTCAGAGTTCAATTTCTATTGACAATAAAAAATCAAATTCTTCTATATAATAATAACTATTTGGATGTTGGAATGTAGATTCTGTAATAACAGTCAGACCAATAGATGCAAGGAGTAATGATCGTTTAACAGACAGCTTATCTTGCAAGTTCTATTAGAGGTAGTAGTACAGACTTAGAAGATCATGGGATATTCATGTAATAAAAGAGTTATACAAAGAGATACAAACTAATAAAAGGTAGTATAAACCTACAATAAGTTCTTGTGACTTGTATAAATCTGGTGAACTAGTCCCAAATAAAAATCTGCTTGGCAAGTCCTAAGTAGAGAGGTATTATAAATAACTACTCTCTTAGTAGGGTGCAGGTATAGTATCTAGTGTAGAACCTAGTAATAGGCAGATATTTAAATAGGTACTCAAAAGGTGCAGATATAGCTAGTTATATTCTACAAATATATATAGCTATTAGAATATATCTGATGATTAAAAATACTACTGATATTTGAATAAAGAGTAGTGTGGCAAGAGCAGTGTCATTTATCACCTAATTTTTTTTTTATCAGAAGCTTATTCCCCTTCTCCTCTCTTAATATATAATTTGATCAGGTCTTTATTATAATTTTAAAATTTTTATCTCTCTCCTCTCTAAAAAATTATCTGATTTTTGTCACATTTTCAAAGAGGTCATCTTAAATATTAAAAAAAAAAGTTTTAGATGTAAAGGTATAGACAATTATCAGGTGATTTCTACCTCTTAAGAGGATACTCTCTCTTTCTCCTACCTGATACTAATTAGCTAATCAAATTTAAGCAAATATTATATAGTCTAATACTTATATTATACGAATATTAATAGTTACTCTATAATAAAGTCAAAATTTTACTAATTAAATCGATATATCTTATTAAGTGAAAGTTGTTAAGTTTCATCCAAATTAAATAACTTTTTATTAATACATTTTTTTTTTTTTTTTTTTTTTTTTTATACCGATGATGTGACCATCTTCGGGCGCGTGTGGCGCTCTTTTTATTTATAAATTATTTGCATTTATACATATCGTAAATATTTACAGATAGATTTTATCTGTGAGCTGCTATTTAAATTTGAGGCTATTACTTTTATCTCCTTGGAGATACGATTTCTAATATATGTAGGTATTACTATTTCTGGTATCATTAAGTTTCCCCATTTATGTGATGTGTACCAGCACCAGATTTCATAGATTGTATTTGTGTGAAGCCAGAGAGCTGCTTTATGGTGCTTCGAATCTTTAATGTTATTTGCTGTAAAGATTTCTTCCATTGAGGACGGGATTGAAATTTCCTTAATATTTAGGAACTTGTAAGCTTCATTCTATATTTTTTTACTTATAATACACTCGAGTGCAAAATGTTCTATTGTTTGAAGTTCCTCTGGACACCATAGGCATTTTCCTGACTCTGTTGCGGATATATGTTGTAGCCGATATCCTAAAGGGAGGGCTTTATGATACATACGCCATAATATATCTTTTTTCTTGTTGTTGTTTGCTTTTATAAAAAGCCAGTCCATTTTGATGTCTGTTAAAAGTATGGTATTTGTTGGAGCAACTGTTCTTTTTCTTAAAATTCCTATTAAGTTTTTTACTGTGAAGTCTATATTTTGTTTCTCGTCAACTTTGAGGTCTTCTATTTTCCAGGGCCAATTGTGGTTTGCTGTGATTTTCCCTTGGATTTTTTTCCATGCTGCCAGATATGGTTTCCATTCTGTTGGCCAGGCTTTAGATTTAATTGGATTTGATGTTAGAGATTGTAATACTGTAATATCTCTTTTTTGTTTTAAATAGGAGGAGATCCTGTTTCGTTCAATTTTTGCCCATAGGCAGTCACCAGTAGTTAGTCTGGTCCATACAGTTAGCATTCTTGCATTGAGCATGTTGCTAACTATTGGGGCTTGAAGACCTCCATGTTCATAGGATAGCAGAAGGTTGAGTATCTAGGAAGCATTCTGGAGTTATTTTTGATCCATATGTTGATTAGTCTATTAATTTCCGCTACTTGCTTTCTACTTGGAGGAAGTAGGTATGCTGCATACCATATTCGTGCAAGTACGAGCGAATTTGCTACTAGGATTTTCCCTCTAAAGGAAAGATTTCTTTGAGAGAACTTGTCTGTAAGATTCTTGATCTTTGTGGTAACTGTGGTCCATAAGTCTTTTTTGTGTGTTCCATTTGAATAGATTTCGTAACCTAGTATTGTGATTGCTTCTTGCTTTGCTATTTTTGTAAATTGTTTTTCTTTTGTGAGCTCAACCCTTCTGGCCATAACTGTAAGAGGTACTAGCTTTGTCTTGCTTTCATTAATTTTGGCATTGGAGGCACTTTCGTATATGTGAAATAATTCTAGTACCCGATTCCAATCTGAAGGAGATCCTATCCCTATTGTTAAATCATCTGCGTATGCTACTGTTTTGAAAAAGTGTCCTTGAACCGGTATTCCTTGGATTTCATTTTCTATCGCTTTCAGTAAAGGTTCAAAAGCTATCACATAAAGAAGAGGAGAAAGAGGGTCTCCTTGGCGAACTCCTCTTTCTACTCTAAAAGGACTTGAGATATCCCCCGAGTCCATTATATGTGCTTCTTGGTTTGAAAACAAGTTTTCGATTACTCTTCTGAATCTTATATCGAAGTTCATTTTTTCTAAAACTGTTTGTAGGTATGTGTGATCGACTCTGTCAAAGGCTTTTTTCTGGTCCACAAAGAGCATCCAGTGTTGTTTAGTAATGTCCGTTTGATTTCTCATAGTTGTGAGGATATCTAGAGCAGCATCTGCTATTGATCTTTGTGTAACAAAGCCCTGTTGATGGTTTGGAATTATGGATTTACAAACTTCATTTAGTCTAGTAGCCAAAATTTTCATGAAGATTTTGGCATCACAGTTGACTAATGAGATTGGCCTCCAATTGTCCAGATTGTTTAGATTTGCTGACTTCTTGAGTATCAGGGTTATTATGTTCTTACACCAAGATGTTGGAAGCGTTCCTGTTATTAGGATTTGATTAAAGATTTTTTCAAGGACTGGAACTATTTGTTCCTCCGTGAGTTTGTAGAACTCATATGTGAGACCATCTATTCCTGGTGATTTATTGTTTGGAAGCTGTTTTATTGTTTGACTGATTTCTTCTTGAGTTATGGGTTTGGTTAAGCCTATGTTTAGTTCTTCTGAGACTTGAGTAAGGTTGCTGGTTAGTTTGTCAATTGCCTTCTGATCTGTTTTTTCCTTTTTGTAAATCTTCTCATATTGTTCTTTAATGAACTTCAGAGTATTTTCTCTTTTGTTCTTGTTAGTATTGTTAGGCTCCTTTACCATTGAAAGAGCCGAGTTTGCATATCGGGACTTATAGTAAGAGAAGAAATATTTAGTAGATTTCTCTCCTTGTTCAATCCACCTCGCTTTTGATCGGGTTTGCCACCTGTCCGCTAATAGAGTCAGTTCTTCTTGCATGGAGGAGTTAAGATCTTCACATATAGAGTATAAGGAGGCTTTAGTCGGGTCTTCCGCAATTTGTTCTTGAAGTTTCGTGAGTTTTTTATTAATCTTCGAGATCTTGTTTTCTGGAGCTTTTAGCTTTTTGAAAGCTCTAATGATTGATTGAATCCTTAGCTTCTGTAGGTCCCACTCTGATAATTCTTCAAAAGACATGATTTCCTCTATTACTTCTTTTTTCAAAAGTTCGTTTTTAAAAGAGTTCTTATCAAACCTCCAGCTAGAAGCTTGATTGCTCTTTTGTCTTTCCGCCAGAGTGCATTCAATTAGTAAGTGGTCTGAGTTTCCAAAAAGTAGCTTTGTAGATGATATAAGATGTTCATAGTTCTCGTCTATAAATATATAGTCCAGTCTAGTTGCCATAGTCTGGTTGTTCTGGACCTTTTGGTGAAAAGTAAGAAAAGGTTTTTGCTCTGCATATATAGCAGAGTCAATGTAGTTCTTTGTCAAATTTTTAAGTTGAGTTCTGGTATTATCATTCTGTGGTGCAGCTTGGCTTATTCTGTCTGTAGTTGGGTTTAGATTTGTGTTGAAATCTCCCGCCAGAATATTAATAGTATTTTCTTTGTGTTGTAGAGACCATTTGTCAAAAAAAGCTGTTCTGTCCTTTATATTTGGAGGAGCGTATAGGTTTGTAAGTGAGAAGGATCGACCTCTGTATGTGAAGCTTGTGAGGATCACTCTTCCTTCATGTAGGATCTCCGTATTCTGGAATTTTATTTCCTTTCTTCCTGCCAATATAGCAGTCTTATTTGTCCAGATTGATTCATACATCCATTGCTTCTTAATGAAGGTTTGTGTTGCCTGGTTGTTTAAATTTGTTTCCTGTAATAGTATTAGATCTAAGTTATAAGATTTTAGAAGTGTCATTGTTTTTTGTCTTTTGTTCTGATCATTAAGTCCCTTTACATTTAGGGTAGCAATCTTAATTATTGCTTTGGTCATCAGATATTATAAAAGTAGGTGTGCTCTTATTGAGCTTTTGAAGAATTCTCCTCTATTCGTCCTTTCCTGTATGGGGCTTGTCTTACTGTTGCTTGTTTACGTATACTTTGGTTTGTTTGTTTCTTTTTCTTCTTTTTGTAAGATACAGTTGTAAAGTCTTCTTCCATTGGAGTTTCTGACGATGTATTCTCATGAGGAGGGCTATTTTCTTTGTTATTATCCTTAAGGTATAGGTTATCTAATGCGAGTTCATCTCTTGTTGTAAGTTCTGCTTCCGAGAAAGTGGTTACTTGTTCGGCATTTTCCTGGGTATCTTCCATTTCATCATCTGTGCTATGCGAGATGTCTCTTATTTCTTGTTTATCAGGCATTTCTGTACTTGTTTCTTCCTCTTTCTGTTCCTCTTTCTCTTCAGTTTTTGAAAAACTCTCTATTTCTTGAGCTGCTTTATTAAGGTAGTCTTTGTTTTTTGTTTTGAATGCTTCTTTGAACTCTCGATAATGCTGTCTTAATGCGACTGACTCTTTGAATTGGAGGCATTCTTTTTTTATGTGCCCTTCCTGATCACAGAAGTAGCAGACTTTGGGAGCTGCCTTCCATTCGGTTGTGATTTTGTTATCTCTGAGATGAGTAAAGCGAGGAATTCGCTTTTCTAGATCCTCATCTTCTGTGGTATCAAAAATCACAATCCATTGATCAGTTAGATATGGTGTTCCCTCGATTACCAATGGTTTGATTGAGGCTATTCTGCCAAAATCCTGAAATACATCTTTGATTAGCATTGTTATTTCTTCTTTTCCTCCTAATGGAACATTTCTAAGTTTGACTGGAAGGAAAGACTTGCGTAAATCTGTTGGAATATACCCGAAATATGATTTGTTGAAGATGTTGATACCCTTGGCCGCATGGTGACTAAGAGTGTTCTTGTTGGAGAAGATAATTTCCAAGTGTGTGCGGTTACCCTTTTTAAAATGTTGTTTTGCTGCTATGACATCTTGTTTGACACTTTCATAAAGTGAGATCATTATTTCATTAAAAGAGCTTTGGATGTCTTTTATTTCAATGATTAATGCATTCTCATTCTTGGTTCTTATTTGTTCTCTAGGGGAGAAGGCTGCATAAGTTGATTGACCCCTTTTTAATTTTGCAAATAGGCTTGACCATTTCTTAGTTGTATCTCTCGGTTGACTAGTATCCTCTTTGGCTTTTCCTTTTGAGGTTGAGCTTCCTATGTATGGGTTATTTTCCGAGAACTCTGTGGCCTCCAGTGTGTTTAGTTCTACTGGTTGTTCTTGGTCTGTAGTTACGTGATCTTGCACGTGTTTTTTAACGTGACTTGTTTTGTTGTTTTGTTGTTGTTCCTCGTTTTTTCGTATTAACGTGTTTGTAGAAGCCGAGCTTTGGCTCTCTTCTTCTCGAGATGCTAGCTCCTTCCAGCTAGTGTTTTTTGCAGTTATTTGGACTGTTTGTGTTGAGGTGGCTGCGTTTGCAGTGGTTTCTTCCTCTTGTTGTTGTCGTGACATGCTGTTTAGTTCTCTTTGTTCGTCAAAGAGAAAGTTTTGTGTTTTTAGCTTTTTGTTGTAAGTTTCTTGTATTCTGAGAGAAGTATATCTTCTTTTCCTTGGTACAAGGGCTAGCGCCCTTGTTGGGCCTTGTTTTAGGTTGTTTGTAAACTTGTGTTGAGTGGTTATTGTGTTTTT